AGCATTCCCTCATTCCTGTCTACATCCATGTTTTGCCCCCAGAAATTGTTTTACCTTCCTTTTCTCAACCCCAGTATTCTTTTACCGTAGCCGAAGACACCCTCATAGGTAGTACCATTGACATTCTACATGTTTTGCCTAATCAAGGTGTATCGTATAGCACAGTTAATGGTGAGCTGACTGAAAACAACAAGGATGGGGTCTTCATCATAGAGCAAGACACAGGGCTCCTAAAACTGGATAAGAGACTTGACCATGAGACAAATCCTGCGTTTCACTTCAAAGTCATGGCCACGATTCAGTTGGACAAAGTAGACATTGTGTTGACTGTGGATGTGGAGGTTAAGGTATTGGATGTAAATGACAACAAGCCCATGTTTGAAACAGCTAGCTATGAGGCTATAATAATGGAAGGGATGCCCATAGGAACAAAACTTATGCAAGTTAAAGCGTTTGATGCAGACTCGAGTGCAAATGGACAGGTCACGTATACACTTGCAGTGGAATCAGAGCTGGAGAAGATCACGGAAGCATTCACCATTGACAGCAACAGTGGCTGGATTAGCACACTGAAGGATCTGGACCATGAGAAGGATCCTTCTTTCACCTTTGCTGTGGTGGCCTCAGATCTGGGGGAGGTTTTATCCTTGTCATCAACCACCTTGGTCTCCGTTACTGTGACAGATATAAATGATAACGCACCTGTATTTGAGCATGAGGTGTACAGAGGGTCAGTGAAGGAGAGTGACCCTCCAGGGGAAGTTGTGGCTGTTCTCAGCACCTGGGATGAAGACACGTCTGATGTGAACCGACAGGTTAGCTACCATATTACAGGTAAGAAACAGCTTGCATGCTTTCTTCCCAAAATCAGCTTTTCTGAAATACTGTTCATGTGTCCAGCTTTAGGTGAACTTACAGCAGGGTTTCAGCTAAATTATCACTGTGAATGAGACAATTGCATCTCTCTCATTTTTTAAATTTGTTTATTTATTTTAATTTGGACAGAATTTGCAGCAACTAGCAAAGCGGAAAAGAGGGAAAAGGGGTGTGTGTCTGTGTGTCTGTCTGGGTTATTCTCCCTCTAATTTCCAAGATTAATGCTCCATGATTTGCTGCAGTACAATGTGGTGTGACCCATCAAGCCATCATAGTTGATGTGTTAATTTGGAAACCATCATGACTTAATGTTTCAACCAAGGGAAGAACATTTTATTCTTAAGGAGAAAATTCTTACATTTCCAATATTTTTTTTTAATTTTGTTTTTTATATAGCATTCTTCTTTTTGAGACAGGAAAGTACATGCAGGACCTACTTTGAAATAACACTATTTTGGGGGGAAAAATTTTTTAAATTCATTTCATATTGGAAGGAGTGAGAGGATGCCTGTTTTTATCAGCACGGATTTCTGGCCAGGGAAATAGTAATTTGCTTAGAAGCAGTGGCTAGCTGCCTTGCGTTGGTATATACAGCATAAGGCAATTTTGATTACATTACCAACATGTTTTTCAAAGTGTGGTAACACTGCTCTTTCCTATTATGCTGTATTTATTATCATTCTTTTCTCCCAGATTCAAACTGGCTTTTGTGTGAGTATGTTATGAGTGTTGCCTATTGCAAGTTGTAGGCAGGACAGCTGCAACACCCCATTGTACATTATTGAGAATAAGACTCCTGTTAGCTATCAAATTGGAAGTGTCTAGGGAATGCTGTTTAGGGAAATGTGTGATGTTCCAGTTAGCCATAGATTATCTATGTTGCATGCCAGAGTAATATAATTTTCAAAGCAGCCGGAAATACCTTATCTTAATTTACATGAAAGACTGGATTCAGTATAAAGGTTTGCCAAGACAATGTGTTTATTGTGTGACGTATTGTAGGGCATTAGAAGTAGAAGCACAAATAGTCTTGTGAGTAAATCACAGGATTTGGAGGCTTTGCGCAAGGTAGATAAACTGCCAGTGCTTCAGTTCCCACATATCAAAAGTAAATAACTAGTGCCTCATCCCAGAGATTTTGTGATATTTGAGGGAGTTTGGGGATCCCAGTATAGAAAGTGCTATAGGAAATGCAAACCTTTCATGTTTGCAACAAAATATGTGAGTGTACTGTGATCGTCAGCTGAACATACTGGTTTTTCACTTTGTTTTAAAGTCTTTCAATTATGTCTTGTAATTAATTTGGTGTTTAGTTGCATAATATTGTTTTCATCACATCCCTGTGCAGTTAATTTAGAAAAAAAAAATGGACTTTTTAATAATAACTGTCATATGTGACTCAAATTATTGATCATTCTGCACCTTAATTTCTTTCACAGATCAAAATACATTTGATATTTTGCTGGTATTTTAGTTTCTGAAAACATTACAAGTGAAAGCCCAAAATTTTCTCTAATGCCCACTGTACAATTACTGAAGTGTATGAGCTCAGAAATTCCACTATCTTTGAATATATCCTTCAAATTTGGGAAATGCACATGGAGAAATCAGGTTCTTTTGATTAAAATGTCTAAACATATTAATGTATCATTTCACTAATAAAACAGTCTGTACACACTTTATCCTAAGCTGAGCTCAGGAACAGCACATGATTATTTCTTTGAATCAGATTAACTAGATTATTATTCAATAATCTTGTGGCTTTTTGGAGGTGTTTTGAGCCACAGAAACTTCTGTGAATACAGTAAGCAAACTGAGGAAAAACAGGACACTGTCAAAAAGGGATAAGAAAACAAATTATGAGGATCATGTGTGGACCCACCAAAACCAGCTTTGTGCAAATGCACTTGGAGAAAGTAGCACACAAAAGTTATATGGAGAAAAAATCATTGTTTTGGAGATGAAGCAAATATTCCAGGTCAGATGTGATCACTGAAGTGTCCTCTGCACTCTGTTGAAAAATGTGAACGCTTCTGTGTAGTCTTCTGGTCAGCTTTGAAAAGAAGTGGATGCATTCTGATGGATATATATATATACACATTTTGTTTTAAACTCTTTTTAAATCCACTTAGGATTCGTTTCCATGATTACTGGCAAGTAGTTGCCATTTTCAAATATATCTCTATCTACATTTGATGGTGAGAAGAAAAAAAATTTCACTTACTTTTTGTTATTTGTAGTTTGATAGCAGCTGGAGATGTTCAGAAAGGAGAAGCGCTATATATAAATCTTAACAGAAAATCAATAGGAAGCACAAATGACACAAATGCACTTAGGTAGCACAATAGTTTTCTTCTGAAGGCTTATTTGAGGTCATTGCCTATACCATCTGAGGCAGTTTGGCTAAAACCAGGGCTCTGCTGGATGTTTAACGAGGATGTTTAGCCAGCCTAGGCCCAGCCAGATATTACTGAGATTTAACAGTGGTAAGTTAGGAAAGGCCACCAGAAAAATATCAGTTGCTTAGAGTTTGGTATAGTAAAGTGTTTTGTGTTGCTCAGTAATGTTAATTAGGCTTCATTAGGCATGTGACTGTAAGGACAGACAATAGTGTTTAAGCTTGATTCAGCTGAATACAAGGAAGATGGACAGTGTGCTTTGGAAGAAACCAGTAATGTGCACAGTACATTTGTTCTGGATTGATTGACCAGTATGAGCAAAGTGGTGGGGTTTTTTGTTTGATTTTATTTTATATATAAGATACTAGAGTTCTGGAGAAATCAATGTTTCAGTGTTTGGGTATAACTTGTGCTGCAGGCTGAAGAACAGTGTCTGCAATTTTATGATAGTAAAGCTAAGAGGATTGGTTTTATCATTTCAGCAGCTCAGTAAACATGCAACATCTTAAACTGGGAGTGGGGGATAAACGTATTGATTTTATGTGATGCAAATGCCTAGAGTTCTAATTGGTAATTGTAAGTATCTAAATAAATGCATAAATGTAAGAGAGAAACTAAATGAGTAAATATTCGGTTCCACCTCCCAGATCAGGACATTGCAGTGAAAACTGATACTGTTGGCTTCTAGTTTTCAGTTCCCTTTTAGCCATTATAATTCCCTCTGTGTGTGCTTTGGTAATGATGTGTGTCAGAATTTGTTTATTTTGGATCACTGTGTCTCTGCATTTCATTTGTATCTGACTGTTTTCTTTCTTTACTTAAACTTGAGCTTGATTTGTCTTTGTAGTATTTGCTGACTAGGGAGGGAGGGAGAGCATTATTTAAACTTCAAGTAACAAAAGATAAAAGACAATGCTGATTCTTTTAGCCTCAAAGCCTTTCTAAAAAGTTACTGGAGTGTTTTTTGTAGCTAGCACTTCACTGTTGTGACATTCACAGTAGAACATAAGAAAACTGCCAAAAGATTTTAAAGAATCCATTAATACATGTAGTCAGGAGGCTTCCGTTTAGAAAAGCTACATTATTCAGAGTGAAAAACTAATTAATTAGAACACCCCTAGGAAACTGAATCTGCTTACATATATTAGTGAAAACGTTAATTAATCATTGCAGAATAAGATCTGCATCAAGACATATGTATAAGTACTAGAAAATGGTTTCCTGGACCACAGTGTGGATTTTTTTGCCTTTTTTTGAGGACTTTTTCTTGATGTTGTCTTATTGTTTACATCCCAGTATTTCTGTTACACTTTATAGTATAACTTCCATCTTTGTCTTCCATAAACAAAGCATATAGCCAGTCCCAAGGAGCAAAAAAAATTAAAGGTAGCACTAATGAAAACAGAATTTAGATAAACAGTTACACATTTGCTGTTTATTGTGCAGGTCCTGTGGTCATTCAAATTTATCCTTTTTAGTGGAGTGAAGAGGCAGGGGGGAGGGAACCCAAAAACCTTTTTTTTAATGCATACTACCCAAATTCCTATATGTGATTTAAAGCCATTCCATGAACAAAAAAGCAGCAGTGATTTCAAAATTGCTCCAAGCTGATGTAAGTGCCAGCCATAAAAGCCACCAGCTGATTTTAATTAGATTTTAACTTCCCTCTTTTCTTAGCTACAGGATACCCATACCTTGAGTGTATTGCTTCATAGTTGGTCAGGACAGTTAATAATTTCCTTTTACAAAAAGACTAATATACAGGAAAGCACTGGTTGATATCACAAAGCTAAGTAAGAATATTTAAGACCATTTTTATTAACAGTTTACAACATTAAACTCACTATGTCAAGATTACAGCCTTTTATACAGGAAAGTTAAGCTTTTTTTATGCTGGTGTTGAACCGAATAGGGAGAATTTAATGTCAGTCAGCAGGGGTCTACCTTCTTTGAAGTCACATTGAGACTCAAGTCGATGGACAGATTCTCATTGCATTTGGATCTGGCCTATAGTGCACATCAACATGCCATATAACCCTCTTTTTGGAGAAATGTGTGTTTATATTGCATAGCAGGTTAGATAAGGTTTGGTTGGGCCCTCTGATGGTTATTGCAGACTATTATAAAAATGAGGATTGAGAAAATTTGGCTCTGCTTGGTTTTGTAATTGAAAAAAAGGTATTTTTCAACAGAAAATATCTTTGCTTGATGTATCAGGTTTGTGCTCTATATGATTAAAGAGTCTTTTATAATTATAATGCCTATCTGACTAATTTGCTGGAAATTTTATTCATTACAATGTCTTGACACAATTGCAGCTAGCACAAATGGTGATGCTTGACTTGAAAGATTTGCTCAGCCTGTCTCAACTGACTTAGTTTTCATATTAAATAGAAGCCAAGTCTATCTTGTTCTTGGTAGCTAAAGAAGAAGGCAGAGATTACATCCTGTGACCTCTTTTTTGCTTTTTGATGTAGAAGAAAAGGTATGACAGGTGAATTAGTTCAGTTGCAAGTTCAGATCTCTGCTTTGCATTTTTTTTTGCTGAGAAGGTCCTTGGGAACTGACAGAATTATGACACCAGAAGCAACAACAGTGGCACCAAATTGCTTGCCAGCAGAGGCAGCTCAAAAATTCAGCCTCACAATTTTTTAAAATACTTATTTACTCAAATATTCAACAGTGGAAATAAAAAGGTTTAAGATCTGGGGCTTTCCATTGAGCTTGGACATCCAAAATACATCAGGACCCAGTAATAAGCTGCAAGCAAAAGTACACTAGTATGCTTGACATTTTTTATACTATTATAAGAAGGAATAAGCATTTACTTATTTTTTTTATACCACTTTAATACAAGAGAAACATAAAAAGTAGTTCTCAGATTGTACTTTTATGTCCTCACTCAATTTTTATAGCATAAGTTTCCTATGACTGTAGTGCTCTATCTTGGGTTGTTGCATGTGCAGATGATATGTTTTTACAAACCAAGTTTATGTTAGACCTTGGGCACTGAAGACTGGATAGCTGGCTCTACAGGCTTTGGCTGGGGTAGAGTTAATTTGCTTCAAAATAGCTGGTATGGGGCTATGTTTTAGTTTTGTGACCAAAACAGTATTGATAACACAGGGATATTTTAACTATTGCTAAGCAGTGCTTACACAGGGTCAAGGTGCTTCTCACCCCACCCCACCAAAGAGTAGGCTGGAGATGCACAAGAAGTTGGGAAGGGGGACAGCTGGGACAGCTGACCCCAACTCACCAAAGGGATGCTCCATACCATATGATGTCATGCTCAGCAATAAAAACTGGGGCAAGAACAAGGAAGTTCAGAGTGATGACATTTTTATTTATATATTTTATGCATGATGGAGCCCGTCTTTCCTGGAAAAGCCTGAACACCTGACGTTAATTCCTTTTTTTTGTTTTGCTCATGCATGCAGCTTTTGCTTTCCCTATTAAACTGACTTTATCTCAGCCCATGAGGTTTTGCACTTTCTCTGTTCCAATTCTCTCTCCCATCTCACCAGAGGGCAATGAGCACATGGCTGTGTGCAGGTTATCTGCTTACCTGGGTTAAACCACAATGTTGGTTTTAAAGATTTTACTGTCTGGTCTGACAGTGGGTTGAGATCAGGCACAGGTGATCAAAGGTGTTTTCTTCATAGAGCAGGCAGGGAACTGTACCAGTTCACATTAAAGAGTAGGTAAGTGCTGGAAACATCAACAACTGTGCCTGCCTTGATTATTGTACCCTTCTACCTGTGACATACCCTTACTTCATTCATGAGGATGGTGTGGACCAAAACTTCCCCTCTCCCAACCTGCTTTTGTCACTAGGCAATTTACTGATGTGGAAGAGCAACATAGCCAAGCTCAGCATCAGTGTTACAGCATGATAAAAAAGCTGTTCTACTTTGTCTCCTGCACTCCTTTCACCAGCTTTCACTCTCGGATACATTTGATCTAATTGTACTGCTTATCTTCCATCTACTCCTCAAATGACCTCTTGTTAGGACTATTTAATACTAATGTGTCTTCCTGTGTCATGTAAACTTTTCTTAAAACCAGGATTTTAATGAGCAGAACGATGCAGCTGTATGATAAAGCTTTCATTAGAGGATGCCTTAATAGAACCCACTTCCAGTCCTTGATTGCATAATCAACAGCTAATGAAATTGTCCTGGTAACAAGAGCTACAGTGTATTACATTCTCCCCCCAGACTAAGTGGAAAGACAATTGTGCCAGCCTGAGAGGACTATTGATTGTTCACAGTTTGAATTTGATTGCCCTTACGGGGAACTAAACCAGAGATCATCTTCTGCTCTGCTAAATGGATTTTGTTTCTACTGAAAGTTATTGGTTCACTTTCATACAAGGCGTTCAGGGGGCAATAAACACAGGGAACATAATCTCATTACAGATTTCCTGAGTCTGAGAGTTTGAAAGCAACAATCACTGTAAAACAAATGACTGCTGCTTAGTCCAGGTCCTCTGCGATGCAGCTGTGGTGTTTAAAGTAGGTGGGAGCTCTAAAGGGATGCCCCAACCCATCGTGTGTTATTTGTCTCATTGCAGGAGGGAACCCCAAAGGGAAGTTTGCTCTGGGACTGGTTCAGAATGAGTGGAAGGTTTACGTTAAAAGGCCTCTAGATCGCGAAGAGCAAGACATGTATTATCTGAACATCACTGCCACGGATGGCCTCTTTGTAACCCAAGCTGCTGTGGAAGTGACCGTCACTGATGTTAATGATAATAATCCAGTTTGTGAACAGGTGAGTTAGCATTACCCACAGCAATCAACAGTTGTGTTGAAATAAATTATTTCCCTGTGGGTTTCCTTGTTACTTACAGAGCATATTCACAGCTGATGCCCATTTTCATCATTAAGGTCTTAGCTGAAGGATCTGGAGTGGTCTGGGAGAGGAGCAGGGTGAAACAGACCTGTGAAGCCAAGATGAAAGGATCAGAGAATCATAGAATGGTTTGGGTTGGAAGGGACCTTGAAGATCATGCAGTTCATAGCCCCCTGCCATTGGCTGGGACACCTTCCACTAGACAGGGTTGCTCAGAGCCTCATTCAGTCTGGCCTTGAACATTTCCAGGGAGGGAGCAGCCACAACTTTCCTGGGCAACCTGTGCCAGTGTCTCTCCACCCTCACAGGAAGTAATTTCTTCCTGATGTCTAACCTAAATTTACCCACTTCAGTTTAAAGCCATGACCCTTTGTCCTATCACTACAAGCCCTTGTAAACAGTCCCTCCCCAGCTTTCCTGTAGCCCCTTCAGATACTGGCAGGCTGCTGTAAGGTCTCCCCAGAGCCTTCTCTTCTCCAAGTTGAACAACCCCAACTCTCTCAGCCTACTTTCATATGAGAGGTGCTCCAGCCCTCTGACCATCTTCATGGCCCTCCTCTGGATTTACTCCAACAGCCCCATGTCCTTCTTATGTTGGGAGCTCCAGAATTGGACACATTGTTCCAGGTGGGGTGTCATGAGGGTGGACTAGAGAGGAAGAATCACTCCTCTGCTCATAACCCTCTAGTAAAAGTAGCAGAGGAATCTTCTCCACAGTGACCTTGGTTTGCTTTAGAAAAAATGAAGCATTGTATGGTAGCTCTAGGCAGCCAGTCCTCCTTGCAATAGAAATGTGCTTCACTTTCACAACTGATGTGGAAATCCAGTTTTATCTGCCACCTTCCTGAACCTGGCAGATGTCAGAAACCCAGGGGAAATGCAGATGAATGTAGCTTGCTCTCATGTTGTTGAGCATGCATGCAGTATGGCCTGACCACAGTTTTCATAGCACTAGCTGTCTCTAATTCTGTGGAAGGGCCATGTGGGGAACTGATATTACTGCAATGGAAACATTTGTGTGAAAGAAAAGGCACTATGAAACCCAGATTTCCTTAATGGTACCACTAAGAGATTCTTATACGTACATATATATATATATATGTATGTATGTGTATACTCATGTTTTTCCTTTCATTACATTATCACTGATGGGCCACTGCCATTGTAAGCACCACTCTGGAGAATGACTGTCAGTATCTCCCTCAAACACTGCTGAATGAGGTGATAAAAACAGTTCTCTTCAGTGGCATATTAATCAAAGTTTCCATTTAATGGGTGTTGATGAAGCAAATGGAAGGTAGAAAATGAGACCACACTTAACACCCAAGAGGAGCCCTATTAAGAGTCATAATTCGGCATTGTGATTTGGACATGTCAAAGTTTAGAAATTATTTCTAGAAATGTGTTACATAAAGGAGAATTGTTTCCCATAGAGAAAAAATGCACGACAGGCAGTTAAAAAAAAAGTAAAAAAAAAAGTTGTGCAAAGGCTATGAAATACTGTTACAGCATAGCTTACACTTTGGTTTTGTCTCTAGGTTGCATACACGGCCCTGTTTCCTGAAGACATTCCATCAAACAAAGTCATACTTAAAATCAGCGCTAAAGATGCTGACATTGGGTCCAATGGTGAAATTCGCTACTCTCTCTATGGTGCTGGGAACAATAAGTTTCTCTTAGATCCAGAAAATGGTAAGATGACTACAGAATGTTTCCAAAGATTCTTCTTAGTCCCTTGACACCAGTAGGTGCCATCTTCACTAACTAGAGTTAAGTTACACTTGGTTGTTATCAAACAGTTGTTCCAGTTATGGCAGGCATGGATGACCACTTCTGAAGTGGTGGTGGTAGGAGGGAGAAAGGGGGATATCTTTTTTGGCCAAGTTAAATGTTACATTCAGAACAGTGGGTAAGTGTTTCCCTGCCAGACCCTTATGTTTCTCTGCCAGACCTCAAGTTAGATGCGGAAGAGAGGCTGCCAGCATAGTCCTGCTTTACCTTCAGACACCACTTCTTTTTTCTTCCACCTTGATCTAGATATATTGGTATTTAGACCCTGTAAAAAAGGCATTC